AAAAGGATCTGGTATGGATTTTGGGGAGGACCCCCACGCCATTTTGTTTTAAATAGAGTTCCCCTCAAAATTCATACCAGACACGAAGGGCTTGGTATGGATGGGAAGGGGGACCCCACGTAGTTTTTTTTAAATTATTTTTTTAATTGCCGGCAATTCTTTTACATTCAGCTGTCAGTGGGGAACCCCGCTGACAGCTGAAATATTAACACATGGTTGTCACTACTAAAATGCTGCATGACTTGATAAAATAACTCATGCGGTATTTATTAGTGTTTACTTTTTTCTGATCTCCAGAACAGATTAATTGGTTTTCAATGCATTCCTATGGGAAACGGCGTTTCGGTTTAAGAATTTTTCGCTATAAGAATAGTCCTGCAGAATGAATTAAATTCTTAAACCGAGGTATTACTGTATTCCCAATCCAGTCCCGAACAGTGGTAGCTCACATTTTAATTTCAGCCTGACTTAACTCTTACTAAAGCATGGAAATCCACTACATCTCCTCTAGTTTCAGAAGTTATCCATAGAGTACACTTTCAGTACCTGTATAAACGGTCCTGTGCAATTTCAAATCATAATTTACAGGTCTTTAATACTAGATGGTTACACTGCTCCCTGACCTTTGATATTCTATGAGAACCATTGATATTATAAATTGCACATAGCATATATGTGTACTCTGTCAGACCATTTCCCTCTTTCTGTTTTTTCTTTATGGAATGCGAGCTTCCTTGCCACTCCGTCCTTTCCTTTTTTTTTTGGTCCAAGTTCTTCTGGATATTTTCTCACTGTGTTACTTCTACCCTTTGTTTTGTGTCTAATTGTTTGTTTTTTGGGGCATTAAACCATGTAATGTTATGCTTCTTACCTGGGCATATTACCAGCATACTATTTTCTAAAGTTTTGTAATAATTTTGGAAATGTCATTATTGCCATTCGTGATTGAATCTGTACAAGTTGGTTGCCGTGTCCTATCGGCTCAATTTTGATAACTTTGACATGTTTGTACTTATTTCCACTATTGTCACGGTTGCTCACTTTATTGGTATTATTTCTTAAAAATTTTAATAGAAAAAAAAAAAAAGAATTGAAAGAAAACTGTTCATCAGACACTTCTGAACAAAATGATAGCTCTGATCAGCAGATGACACTCCACTGATCAAAGCTATTCACCTAAAATGTGGCAGCCCCTTTCCCCTGCCACTCCTGCCACTGCTAATTCTCTGGGATTCCCCCCTCCCACTGTCACCTATAATTCACCCTTGCTACTCTCTTTTCCCCTTCCCCAACTAACTAAACCCTGCAGCACCGATTCTCTCTAAGCCTCCCTCCTCCCCCCTCAACCTCGCACCAATCCTCCCCTGCAGATTTTGACCAGCTTTCCCCCTCTGCCTTACTGCCTGCACTTCAGGGGAGCCACAAAGGAAATAAAATCATAAAAATCAATGCCTCCCACCTCCATTCCGACCTCCTACCCTGTAGTGCTCCCCCACTGATCCCCCTGCAACCCTTCCAGCTTTACATACCCCCCTCCTGCCAGCTGCACTGCACCTACTGCTCGGGGGGGGGGGGTCCATGTCCAGATGGAAAGTGGGGGGGCTGGAAAACATGTGTTTACCAGCCCCCTTCCTTTCCTTAATAAACACAGACAGCGATCCATACTAATCCACGTTTATTGATCACTGACACATAGTACACTGTGTTTACTATGTACCAGTTTATGAATGAATAAGAGTTTATATGCAGAGATCTCTATTCATTCATGTGCATTGCAGCTGAGGCTACAGAGAAAGGGAATGAACTCTATGTCTTCAGACCCTTTCTCTGTCTCAAAAAAGAGACATCAGGAGTCTGTTTATACTTCTGATATCTCACCAAAGCCCCCCTCCCAAAAAAAAAAGGATTTGCCTGCAGGGGATACATGGAACACCTAGGCATACCTGTGCAGGTAAACCTGGCCCTCCATTGGCATAAACGTTAGTACACCCCACGTGAATAAGGCCTTAGTAGGAATTTAGCAGGAAGTTTGTAATTTATGTTGTGGTTTGTGTTAGCTAATAATGATTTTAGTGTATTTTTAGCGGAAAATATATGGTTTGGGGGTCTCTTGCAAATTCTGAAAGCTGTAAGGGAAAAATGGTAGCATCAGATTTTTAGAATAAATTCTTTATGTTTATAGTTTTGCGCACTGTCAGTTTTCACCATTTCATTAAAAAGTCCAATTTAAAATTTGCACATCTTTGTAATTTCTTAACTAAATACACTGTTAGCTTTTATACTTAGGAATACGTAGGAATTTAGCATGAATTTTGTACGTTTTGCTGTGTTTGTGTCTGCGAATAAGGATTTTTGTGTATTTTTTAGTGAAAAAAATGTTTGATAAAAATTTGCACGAATTATTATTTTTATTATTTATTATACAGTATTTATATAGCGCCAAAGGGTATGCTCAGCGCTGTACAGTAGCAAGGGGGACATAACATGAGACAAGACAGTAACAATACAATACACAAGGGGTTCGAGGGCCCTGCTCTTTCGAGCTTACAATCTAGGAGGAAGGGGAAGGTGGTACAGGAGGAGATAGCTGTGGGGGATGGAGTGGTGGGAGGAGTGGAGGAGGTTAGTTGTTAGGTGAGGTCAGGTGTTAGGTGAGGTTGGGGTAGGCTTCCCTGAAGAGGAGGGTTTTCAGGGTGTGCCTGAAGGTGAGGAGGGTAGACGACAGTCTTATATTACAGGGCCAGAAAAATTAGTAGCATCTTTTTATTCTAATGGTCCTATGCTTTTAAAAAATGTATGGTTTTGGGGGGTCTGTCACAAACTCTGAAATCTGTAAGGGACAAATAAAAAAATTATGAAAAATTGCAAAAATGGTCTGGCCACCTGAGTTTAAGAGTGGAACGCAGGGCTTGGCAAAGAAAGGGTAATGGTTTATTAATTGCTGTCTTTTTATTTTTGACTGGAGTTCTTCTTTAAACTCCACATATGTAGTGAATTGGTTGTAAAAAATATACTGTATAATATTCATAGTACAATACTATATTCATAGCACATAAAAACCCCAGAACTAGTGGGTTTCAAGAGGAGTTTTTAGCTGTAAAAATGCTCTAATGCTGATAAAAGCTGAAAATGTTTTAAAAACCGCAGGTATCCAGCGTTTATGAGCGTTTTTGAACCTGAAAATTTTGTGGCAGTATAAGTTGCAAATGCTGAAAAACATAAAAAAAAAAACTGAAAAAAGCTAATGCAAAAATGCTAATAAGTGACAAAACTCACGTTTTTTAATGCAGCATTCTACAGCTAACACTTGGCGTTTTTAAAACTTCCAGTGTGCATGAGGCAGTGTTTTGTTTTATTTTTTTATTTTCCAACATAAGGACACTGAGGTAAATGTGGGTATTAATAAATACAATTGCTATAAAGGGACCCTTGGTCATCTTGAACTTGTACACCTTAACCGATGTGCTGAGATTAGTCTGCATGGCCTTTGTGCTTTGATAGAGACTGCTGAGTATTGCAGGGTAAATGTTCCTGAAACAAAGGTAATTTTCAGCAAGTGTTTCATGCATGCACATGCTGAATAATTTGTTTGTTTTACCTATCGTGGCCTGATAACTCCAATGTATTGGCAGCAAATTGAATGACTTTGCAATGAGCAATATATTGTTTTCTGTTACTCACTAGTACTCATACATACACATCAGGTTATCTAATCCAGAGTAAAGAAAGCACCCAAAGGCAATGTAAGTAACATTATCAGTGGGTGTTACTGAACATGTAGGGCTCTGTATAAGTTTTCGAAAGAACTTAGTCAGAGTTAATGAACTTTAAACTTTGTGTTACACAAGCTAAGCGTACTTAACTTACCAAGCGTAGTTTATATAACACCTAATATGAACAAACTGCATTAAACTCAATAAACCAAACACCTATTTTTTTAGTTGGTCTGGTCACCATTTGGAACAATTACTGTATACATAGAGCAATTCTTTGTTCTTATGATATTTGCTTTCCCATTATTTCCAATGAAGCAGTACTGGGTCAGGCCATGTTTAGATATCATAGTGCCCTAGGCGCATCTAAATAATGACACCCTTTGTTGCAAGCTGCACCCTTGCAATTATTTTTTAGTAATATTTTACGCTAGAATTGGAGGAGGCATACTGTCTGCTCTCTATCTACAACTATTTTTACCTGAACGTACATCATTATACATCATACACATTTGGCTTCGTTTTTTGCATAGAGATGCACACAAATTGGGGTTGATTTACTAGAGGTAAATATACTGTGCACTTCAAGTACAGTTGCTCCAGAGCTTAGTAAATAAAGTAAAGCTTAATTTTGCAAATACCCAATCACATGAAAGGAAAATAAAAACAGCATTTTTGCCTGCACATGATTGGATGATAGAAATCAGCAGGGCTTCCCCTCATTTCAGAGCTTCCTTTCGGATCTAGAGCAACTGCGCTTGCAGTGCACAGTATATTTGCCTTTAGTAAATCAACCCCATTATATATTTGGGGATAACTTCTACCCTAGGGAATATCTACAATGTGCTTACTAGTAAAAGTGAGCCTAATTAAGTAAAGGTGGGATCATCAGGGGATGTATGGAATCTCTGACAAGATTAATTTAACCTCCCTAGCGGTATGATTATTTCAGATTTTTGGTGCTAAAAGCGGTACCATTATTTTGCATGGAAATTTGGCGTTTTTTATTGTAGGCCTGTAATTCTTAGGAATAACCCACTGAAATCTGTCAGAACAAGAGTCTAGTAAACATCCCGGGTAGGATAAAACTTGAAACACGAAATCATAAAATATAATTTCATAAATAATCATAAAAAATAATATAACAATAATAAATTTAATTCAATAATATAATCGAACCAAAAACACTGAAATTTGAAATATAGCGCCAAGTTCGCACATCACTAAGCAAAGTCGCAAAATCGTTTTCAGTGTCTGATGACGAATTTCCCCACAAATCATTATCACTCAATTCTGCAAGTGGTTCTAATTTACTATCGCTGTTCTCTAGCCGGTCTAAAACCACTTTTGACCTAAAGGGACGCTTTTTGGACGCCATGGACATTTCTCAGTTTCCAGGCAGAAAGAACAGTAAAAATGCAGGCAGGGCACAGGACAAAGCACTCGGGACAACATGTATGTGAAATGGTTTGATACAGTAATGTTTTACTATGTGATTTTAGTGATTTTTGTGAATGTCACTTTTTGTCATTTTCAAATTTCCCGCCGTTCCGTCCCCCGTACGTCCCGACGCTCGCAGAGGATAGAACCCAGAAGACAGATGCCGGCATCCGCCGGATTACATTGCCGGGGACACTGCAGGAGGGACATCGCAGGAGCGCAGGACAAGGTAAGTGACCCGAGGGATCGCGGAGCAGCACCGCATGGTACGCCCAAGTGTAGCTCAGAGTTACCGCTTGTGGTACTGAAACTTTACCCCGAGCTACACTCAGGAATACCGCCAGGGAGGCTAACTTAACACTGGAAAGCAATTATTTAATTAATTATATCACAAACTGTATTACAGTGGTTCTAAAGGTTATACTTACCTTCTCTGTGCAATGGTTTTGCACAGAGCAGCCCTGATCCTGTTCTTTTTGAGGCCCCCCACTGGTGGTCTTGGCTCCTCTCCCCTGCCAAGTGCCCCCAAGAGCAAGCCTTTTGTTATGGGGGCATTCCAGCACAAATTTGAGAACTTTCTGGAACAGGGGACGAGGGGAGGAGGCCCAAATCTGCAGGTTTGAGGGACCTTGGCCAATCACCTAGCTGGACATGTTGACCTGGGCAACCCTCAAATATGACAGAGTCTCGGGAGCAGTGTGCAGAGTTAGGTGGAAGATGGATTGAGAGAAGGCTGGAGTGTGGAGCCTGGGATTGAGCTCCATGGAGGGGAGCCTACTTACAGGCAGGATGCTGGATGGGAGAATCTCGACTGCCTCAACATCTCCTTGGGAGGTCAACCTGTTAGCAGTGAAGGAGCCAGCCCAGCGTAAGGCCTGAAGGCAGCCACCAACCCACCACACAGTCAAAGACAGTGTGAGTACACCTACACCCCTTGGGCCGGATAAGGGGAGAGGGCCATCAGATGCAATACCCAGCTTGTCTTCACCTGGGATTGCTTAACCACAAGCGCTGGGAACCCCCCCCCCCGTTTAGGGTTACCCTCAGCACAGCTGGGTGAAGAGGATTCATTTGGGGTCTGAGGAGGTACACCAAAAAAAAGGGACAGTGCATTATTTTTGGCTAGTCCACCTTTTTTGTACATAGTTGCTAAGAAGTTCATCCTCAAGTTCTACAGTTCCTTGGGCATCGCAGATACCTCTAGACCCCATCCAAGTACAAGTGTGAGAAAAATGTGTGTTGGCTGGCCATGCAAAGCTTAGGGGGACCCAATCAAATCCAGTGACCTTTACAAAGGTAGTGCTATAGTATAATTAAAAGAAAAACACATTTTTTTAGTTTTGGATAGGGTAGAGAGGTATTAGAACACGTATTAGGTTTTTATTGTTGTTTGTGCCCCCATTAGGGAAATTCACCCTCTCTATTTGTCCTGTTTACCGTTATCATGAAGGTAAATCTCCCCAATGGGACAAAAAAAAACCTGACAGGGGTTCTAACAATCCATTACTCTATGCAAAAAGAAAAAGAAAGTTTTGTCTTTAGTTACGCTTTCAAGCAGCCTTTCTCAACCTTTTCAACACAGAGGAAGCCTTGAAATATGGTTAGCATTCTGCCTGGCAGTACTAGGGTCGCTGGTTCAAATACCAACCATGGAACCACCTGCCTGGAGTTTGCATGTTCTCCCTGTGACTGCGTGGGTTTCCTCTGGGTACTCCGGTTTCCTCCCACTCTCCAAAGACATGCTGGTAGGTTAATTGGATCCTGTCTAAATTCGCCCTAATATGTGTATGTGTGAATGTGAGTTAGGGACCTTAGATTGTACACCCCTTGAGGGTTAGGGACTGATGTGAATGTACAATATATATGTAAAGCGCTGTGTAAATTGACGGCGCTATATAAGTACCTGAAATAAATAAATAATATTTTTCCAGTTTCAAGAAACCCCTGCTAAATATTACTATATCTACAACTCACGATAAATTAGTGTGATGGTCACTGGGAAGAATTACCCCTTTGTAGATAGCTGAACAGATCAATGATGTCAGTGGGAACTTGTCAGTGGGAAGAAATCTCTAAAAATAATTGTGAAAAAGAATCCCCACTGCATACGATGTCACAATCTTGCACAATGTCCTTTTGTCTCTTTCGGTCAATTGACCGTGTTAACCATTCTTATGCTTATTAGACAACGTTTTATAAAAATTGTTTATGCAGTCATAACCTTTGATACTGTTCCTCGCAACATGGGAAATAAATTGGCAACTTTAGTCACAGAAGCACCAGCTAAGTGACACCAACAATTTGCCCTCTTTGAAGCTCAGTAAGCTCTGACATGACTTCCTATTACTAGCAGCGCACATAGTGAATGATGAAAGTGAGGCTTCCCTCCTGGTAACTAGGTGTCTCATCACAGAGCAGAAGCAAAAGAGTGTTATATCACTTCAGTTTTTCAAAGTGATACATGTGGTCACTTTCATACATGCAAATCGTATAGCGTTTACATTTCTTTGTCCAACCCCTGTACTTACCTAACTGAGAAGGAGCAGGAAGAACACACTCTTATTCCAATTCATTGACATTTTAGTGTTGGCATCCAATGTGGGAGAAAAACTGTCTCGGAGCAAGTGAGAAGGGTTAATAACTAAGGTGTCCATTTATGAACCAGCGGTAATAGATCGCTGCTCAGTTCTCCGGCATTCTCGGAGAACACAGTTCTCCTGTGAATGCAGTTTATGAAGCAGTTCTCCGAACGAAGGGAGAACGGTCTACAAACTCTGGAAAACGGCTGATTTTACTATAATCTCGCGAGATTACAGTAAAAGATCAGTTTACTAAACAGAGGTAAACTATCTCTGCTTAGTTTGCGGTCCCTCCGATTCTCCAGCTCTGGGCTGGAGAATCTGGAGGGAGAACACAGATCTCCAGCGAAGGGCTGACATGATCTCCTGAGTGTCATAAACTGTGAATGACCAGAGAATAGCTGAGATCCGTTGAATCGCAGCTATTCTCTGTGTCATAAAAAGGTCACCTAACTGTGGAAAGAAAACTCAACAAATTTACCACTCTATATCATACTCCCACAGCATTTCATTCAATAAAACAGATGCATTGTGCTATCTACCCAGCCACAGGCCAGATTTTTTGGAATAAGTTGCTTTTCTTGTTCATCTAGCACCCTCATAGTTAGGTGCTAGGATGTGTAAATTTTTGTTTATTTAAAATCTTGCAAACCAAACATATAGCTTATTAATAAAAGCATATTTACATATAAACAAAAAATCAAATAAAAATGAATATATATCTATATAAATAAACAAAACCAAACAAGCTTACATCAGCAAATAACAGAAAAGAAAACGTCTTTCTTCTGAAAATAACATAAATAGAACTATACACAAAGAAACATAATTTTATTATCCAAAAACGTACTAAATTATGCAAATAACAACCCTACCTTCACCTAAACACACCGTCAGGCTAAGAAACAATTAAAGATTTATCCCATGCATACAGCCTTTTTCCAAAAATATGATCTTACAAAAATCTAGGGGATGTGAAAGGACAGAAAGAGAAGCCAGGCACCCAGAGACTGACAGACAGCAGTTACGGGGACCTGACATTTCTCCACGTCCAGGCTCCCGGCCGCCACTTGTCCTTCTCAAGACTCTGAATCTTCCCAACCTCACCCAGAATGTTGTGCACCACCACCTCGACAGGAAGGACTTTTTTCCATGTAGAAACCTGACACCGTGCATTCCATGTGTAGTAACGGACTACTAGGCTAACTTGAAAAAGTGTCTCAAAATCTCAGAGAGCTCGACAGGCTCCATAAGATCACTCTGTGTAACTCAAGAGGTAAAGGAAAGGGATACCCAGAGCCCCACCCACCTGCTTGTAGACTTCTATATTGAAGGGACACTGAAGCAAGAAATGGTCCCTCGTCTCCTCCACCCCACTCTTGTCATGGACAACGGTTCTCTGTAGAGTGATGCTTCAGGTTGCCCTTCAGATAGAGTCTGCCATGGAACGATCACCAGGCCAAATCCCGAAACTTTAAAGGGATTGTCTCCAGATTCATCAAACGCAGACCCTCCTTTATAACAGGGCCTGGGAAATCCCTCAAGGTCAGTGGATCACTAAAGGCAGACTCAACAACCCTCCTCTCCAGGGTCTTCCTAGGAACAGACTTAATTTCCTCCGCCGTCACTTGCCACTGCCAAAGCATTTTTTCAGGCACAGGGCAACATAAGCCGGGAGCTTACCATGTCAGACCCTCAGGCTTTTCACTGGCCTAAAAAAGGCCTAAACCAGGACTGAAAAATTCCAACCCACCCAGTTGGTTCCTCTGCCAGCATACTACCAATTTTATGTTTTAAAAACATCAAAGAAAAGAAAACCACCGGGTTGACTATACCTAGACTACCCATCCGCCTGGGAAGGTAGGTTACAGACCTCTTAACGAGGTTTAGTCTGTTCCCCCATAACAGCTGGAAGAAACAACTGTAGATCTTCGCACAGAGAGACACTGGCAAAACACAGACAAAGCTGACATACAGAAATACTGGGATCAAATAAGTTTTAATCAGGTCAATATTTTCCCTGTAAGAGAGTTTCCAATCCTCCCAGCTGGCAACCTTGGCATCGGCATCTTGTAGCCTGCTTAGCCAATTTGCAAGGCAGTAATCACTGGGACCAAATATGATGCCTAAAACTTGAATTCTTGATCTCCCATCCAGAAGACCTCACTCTTATCCTGATTGATCTTTGAGCCAGATGCCTCAGCATACAGTTTCATTACTGAAACCACCTCTTCCGCCTCCTCTGTCCCAGAGATGGAAACAGTTACATCATCAGCATAGGCCATGACTCTTAGAGGAGGCTCACCAGGAATGCCCAAAGGAACTCCACACAACGGTCTGCTTTCTAACCTCCGAATGAAGGGATCGATTGTGAACGCGTATAACAAAGGACACCTCTGATGCACACCTGAGCAAACCCCAAAGGGCCGTCCAATCCAACCATTTACAAGCATGAAGCTTTCAGCCCCTCTGTATAAAGTCTTTAGCCAATCGATAAAGCCCCCTCCAGGCCATTCTTACCAAGAAGCAGCCAAAGGTACTCATGAATGACCCGATCAAAAGCTTTGGCCAGATCCAATTCCAGCAGGAACTTTCCCCAACCTGCAGCCCTGCACCATTCCAGGGCCTCCT